AGACTGTTCCATTCTTGCTGCAACATCTTCCACAATCTCAGGAGTTCTTTTTTTGGGCGCTCCGCTACCGGTTTTTCGTCCAACAGTCCCAACAAAACGAAATTTTGCGACACATAAATAAATTTGATGGACCAATTTTTGATAATCCATAGGAAAATTGGGGAAAGCATTTTGAAAATCATTAAGGCAATGATCTACAGAATACATCCATTCACCATTCTGTTGCCGTTCGGCGTGTTTCAAATAACTCTCAGTAAGAAAAATTTTATGCTCTAATTGAAACATTTTGAAATGCCACTTTGACAATTCAAATTTCAAATCAAAGTGTCAACATTAGTAGTGCCAACCTGATTCAAAATCCACAGCTTGCTCTAATTTATTATTTAAATGATCGCACGGTACTAAAACAGGTTATTTGTACCACAAGGTTAAAAACAGTCAATTTGCAAGCACTTAAAACAGTTTTTGGATGTATAATACACAGTATTTTTTAGTCCAACTAATTAAATTGTCTCAAATTTGCTAGTTTGCGCTAGGAAAGTTACATGTGTTCAGGTTGGCAACACAATGTCTAAATTAGACTTCAAATTAATTAAATTAACTCAAAATTAGCTCCAAACAAAAATTAAAAAAAAAAAAAATGGATTTAATACATGAAATTTTTAGTATGAAATGTCAATCATAGATGACAACGATAACCATTATTGCCAACATTTGATAATTTTTTTGTTTTTGATCCCAAAAAAATATTTTATTATACAGTGTGATTCCTTTAATAAAGATACTTTTTTGTAAATTATTGTGTTTTTTTTTGCGTTCCATTAATTCTGATAAAAATTCTAAACACATTCTTGTCACCTACTCAACTTTGTTCTGTAGGTGAATTTTCTAGTCCACACCACACATAATTGAAACATTGACCTTTAATTGTTTGTATATCGATTGTTCTGAGGTGTGGCACTTTTTACACACGATTACAATAAGCTGCTTTTGCAATTTTGTTTTATCCTTTAGGTAATTGAAAAAATGTGTTTAATTTTTTTGTCAATGTTTATTTGAGTCTGACGTTTATAAATGACATTGTTTTCAAATTAAATCAAAAACCAGAACTACCAACTTCATTTATTAAAAATTACCAATTGAAAAAACAGACTTTATAGAACGTTTCAAAATGATTGCTAGGCTTTGACAATGTAAATCAGGCTTTAATTTTAGTTCCAAAAATTTTGTAATGTGAACATTTTTTAGATCACAATACTTAAAAAAATTACATTTCAGTTGAATTCTGTCAGAAAAAATAACATAATTAATTTTTGTCCAAAAGAAATATGTATGGTTTTGGTGAATATAGAAGAAACAGAAAAATGGGAAAAAAATGCACAAAAAACCTCTTAAAAACGACAAATGTAACAAATTGTGAAATAGACGTAACTTTAACCAGTAGCGTACAAAGATTAAAAACAATATAAAACTGTGAAAGTACCAATGTTGCCACCTTAAGTTTGAATTTCCATGACCTACCGTCAATCATTTTGAAACGTTCTATACTTGCCTTCTAAATTTTTTCATACATTTGATTTTAAAATCAATAATTTGTAATTTATTAGAAGTTGCACAGTCATTTGTTTCTAATTTTTTTAATTAATAGGTACCGGTTTTGTGTTTTCTTTTTTCAATTTTTGAGACCTTTTTATTAGAGTTTAATTTTTTTCAATCAAGAACCGGAACACCAGGTTCCACTGTCTTTTATTAAAATAAAAAAATTGCTAGTAGTGAAAACGTTAAAACCAGTGTCGCCAACTGCTTTTTTCCAAAGTTTCCAAAATGTTTTCATTCAAAACCAAGTTTAAAACAATGACAAATAATACCAGAACTTTATAAAAAAACTTACTCAGGGTCAGTTTCATAATAAAATTTAAAGGAGCTTTAAATTAAATGTTGTTTAGATTGTGCGGATTACTTGGTTTTTGTTGAAAAAAATAACACATTCTAAACCAATATTAATTTTTAAGTCTTTTTAATTCGATTATAAAGCTGGCCCTAAGCTTTTATTTTTCTAATGAAACAAGCAAAAAATATATTTAAAAAGTTGCAAAAAAATTTTTTTTATAGGGCGTTTCAAAATGATTAACATCTCGGTAGGTTATGGAAATTCAAATTTAAGGTGGCAACATTTGTAGTTAGAGAGTTATAGGTTGTTCATTTTTGTACAATTGCAACCACTGCTTTGTGTTTTGTGAATTTTGTCGTTTTTTAATTGGTTTTTGTGCTTTTCCTTTTTAATTTCCTTTTTGTTTGACGTTTCTTCCACATTCCTTGTGGACAAATAGGCTATGTTATGTCATTTTTCGCGATCTAAAGAATGTTTAGTAACTTTTTTGGAACTAAAATTGAAGTCTAGTCAATGCCTACCGAGATGTCAGTCATTATGAAACGTTCTATAGTTACTGTCATTACATTTTTGGGTACCAAACTGACTCGAATTTACAATTTTCTCAAGAAATAGAAAGTCACCAGTAGTTAAGACATTTCTCGAGTCTGTTTATTAATTCTCAAAATCCGCTAGGATTAATAAAAAATTCCAAGTTGGCAACAATGGAGTGCTTGGTAAAAATAAAAGTAATTGTTTATACGAAAAGACAATATCGCATATTTGCCACCTGAAATCCTACTTTTTTATTGGTGGACGTTTCAGTTTCCGTCCAAAACATAAAAGTTGTCGTTAGAGTTGGTATAAAAATGTCGTAATCGGCTGTGGTTATTATTGGCCGTTATTCATTTACATAGAAAAAACATATAGTATACGATTATAAATAAACCTCACGACTTATGACGCATGAGCAAACCCTTAATGATAAATTAATCAATGTAGCTGACTATACCTATTCAATAGCCGATGAAGGTATTCTTGTCACGGACTTTACAACGTAAAAGTACACACAAAATGTTTTGCAATTGTTTCAACTTAAAAAAAATAAATGTCCCAATTCAGATTTCTCGACCCTAAATAATAAGCACTTGAGCTAAAGTTAACTAACTCTAGTATCAAAGATTTAATGCTTTTAAGAGGATTAGTTGTGGGGTGAAACAGGGGTACCTACATAAATAATGGAATTTGGTTCCGGTATGGTGGCAGTTCTGTTTTCAAGCCAACTTTCTTAGGCCTTGTTGTGTATTTTTACGAGATTGAAATATGATGAAGGCGTTTTATTCGAGACAGATTTATTTTAATTTTGGCGCATTGACTGTGCCAAAACAAGACCACGCAAACGCAATGAAGTTGGCGTAAACATGGCGTTAGTCGGGTAATTGCTTCAGTGGTTGTGATGAAAACAATTCAATGAGAAAACAAATAAAAATTCTCGCAACTTTATTTAATTTATTCGTTATTGTATAATGTGAGTTTTGCAATTTTTGTACGATGTGAATGTTTTTTTTTTGTTATTTTTATTTCCAATTGGTTTTGAAATTGTTGTAAGAGAAAAAAAATAATCGGATTTTCAGTTTTAGAAAAGAGTGTTGCTCCTGTTGGCTTTGTTCTCACTGCCTCAACTATTTTGTATCATGTGTAAATGTCATTAGTTCTACATTTAGGTTAACTGTTGTATTTTGTACCAATGTTTTGTCATTTGTTGGACAAGCTGTATAATATTTAAAATAACTTGTTTGATAAGTCTTGTGTATAAAGAAGACTGCTAAAGGACGAAAAACGTGACACTACCACCAAAATGTGTGCCAGTTATTTAGGTGAGTTTTACATTTTTTTTACACAAGTAATAGCTTAAATTAACGCACCGAGTGTAACATTTTGCTAATTTAAAGTAGTAATAAAAATTATTCTATTTTTGTTTAGTATTTTCAGTTTGTTTCAGCAAAATCGCTCGGTCGGTAAAGTAGGAACATTTTTTCGTGTTTCAATAGAGGGCGACGCGTTTATCATAGGTGTATTGATTTATAATGCGTGTGTATCTTACTCTAAATTATAGGTTTATTTAACACTTTTAAGCATGTTTTCTTGTTCAACGTGTCATTTAACGTAATTACATTGCTTCCTTTGTTTTAATGTCGCAAAACAAAAGCTAAATAATAGTATTTACGTTATGTCAATGGTTAGACTTATGCAACACAAAATACACACTATTTTTTGAGGTTTTATTAAAAAATTGATTGGTAATACAGGGTGTTTCACACAACTTTACGAGGCTTGCGCCTAATGTACGCCTAATGTATTTTTGTATACCAAATATACAAAAATCACAAAACACTACATAAAAAAATACACTTTTAATTATTTAATTTTTGGATACCCATGACAGTAGTTGTCAAACTAATCACTGTTTCATTAATAGTCATAAACTGCAGTTTTTCAGAAACAATTATCATTTGTTCTATCAAGAGACGGCATGAATATGATTCTAGTTTACTTATCTTAATCACCAACTAACTAAAAACGTTGTAATTTTTCAAAGGGTGAACAAACTAGGAAAGATTATTCAATTTTTCAAAATTTTTAATCGAGTTCGTATCGGAATATGTATTATTGATTGCATCTTAAAGGCGCAAGCCTCGTAAAATTATGTGAAACACCCTGTATTAAGTAATAGTCAGTGTTGCCACATCAAGTGTCTATTGCCAATTTGACAACAAAATAGATGTAGAATATAAAAAAAAACATCGTTTTCTTTTATTTTTGTATAACAAAGTTTCAAAAAATCAAGATAAAGAGGCAAAATCATGAAGTTATTTTTGTTTGGTCTAAAAAATTGAGGAAATTTTATGCATATTGCGAAATAAAACGTTATTCCATTAAAAAATCTACAATTTCTCATTGTAATTACATGCAGCATAAGATTTACGACTTTTGTGTTCTAAAACACAGGAAAAAGTTAATTTATGACCAGAATTATGGGTCATAAACGTAATTTTACTAATGTATTAGTCGTTTCAGTTATTGGACATTGAAAATTATTTGCAATTATTTGTGCATCGAAGGATCATTTTAGGGTGGCAACCATGCGAAAATTCAAACAATCCTAACCTCAATCTTCCTTAAAAATATATTTTTTTAAATAAATGTGTACCCCAGGTAGCAAAAAATAATTAAAATTAACAACGTAATTAACATAGGGGAACAAACATAAAGATTTTTGTCATTATTGATGTGATTAAATTTGTTCTGAATGACATTAATGACACTTTCTGTGTGAATTGGCCTTTAAATTAAAGATGCATTTAGACTTCTACAACCTACTTGATGCACATTAATATAAGAAAGAGTATAGTTTCAACGCATTTTCGTTTTGTTCTTAGTAACAAAAAGCAGATTTGTCAACAAGAAATTACCACCTAGAATTTGAATTTTTAGGAAAATTACGTTTTTCATATTGTTTGTAACTAGAATTTTCAGAAGTAATTTTGAATACCTAGGATTGGTTATCCCTTGTTGTTGACGGTTGACGTTTTTTTGTCAACCTGCTGTCTACTATTAATTGAATTATTTATACAAGCTGACAGGTAACTTAACCTAAATTTTGACACTAGTTATAGTCAGAAAAGTGACAGAAAAGTAACTAGGTTGCCGACATCCTCCGCCTAGAAAGTAGTACTTTTGAAATTGGAATATAACAAATAAAATAAATACAGTTATCAATTTTTTCATTAACCATTTAAAAAAGTTTGCAATAATGATGTTTCAAAATTCTGTCAAAACATTGTCCGCGTAGGAATATCAAGACGTATCGCGATACCAACCCAACAATTTACAAATTTTAGCATAGCGATTCTAGTACTTTTCTTGTTTTTTCACCAAGATGTCAAAAAAGTAAAATCTATCAGTTTAGAGTATACGATATCTTTTGTTTGTCACCAGAAACCAACTTGACCAAATTTATGACAACCTATTCACGAATATCCCTAAATTTTAGGGAGTAATTTCAATATTTTGAAACAAAAATGGATGAAAGCTTGCTATTATACCAAAAATGGTTTGTTCGTTGTAATAACTGAGCTTTTTTCAGTTTTCCACGTTCTAGATACATTTCACCCTCTTGTTTCTTGTATTGTCTTTGTTAAATTGAACCAACTAGTTACTTAAATTGATTTTGTACGTGCGAATTGCTAACTTAAACCAAGTTAGAGAGCACTTTCTCTCAACTTATGTTTTCAGGACACGCACGCTATTGTTAACAAGTAACAAATATCGACCAGTTGTCAAAATGATGAAATCTAAATTCTAAATTACAAACTTACTAGCCTTCAAAACTATATGAGAATTAGATATTTATAGTGGCGTTTAATTAGCAGCAGATTTTTCCGAGGTTTTTCAGTGTGTTTCGCGGGTCAAGCAACCTCATCGACCTGAAAACCTGAAAGATAAGATTGTCATCACACTCTCTGACGTAAAACTATTACGATAGACTAGCGTGCAGATTAAAGCTTGGAGCTTTAACAACAGAAAATTTGATCAAATGTGATTACACACTTGGATTATTTGCAATATTTTATCGAAAACTGATCGTTTTGTCCTCGGCTCTTGTTATCTGCAATGCGCCATATTCCAGGGACTGCTATTCTCTCGTCTCGAGCTGCTATACATTATGAATATAACATTTGACTGATTTTTGTTTGAAGGATAATTGGCTATGCAGCGATGCATAAATTCATAATCAATTGTTGTGTTGACACACCTAGATTTCAGTAATTTCATTCCTCGCTCTACGTCAGCGAAAAAGGCCAGCTTACACGAGGGCAAATTTGACTTTTGAGACCTTTTGTGTTAAATTTTTGTCAAGCAAGAAATAAAAATTTTGATATTTTCTCGCGGTTTTGCCACTATCAGATTTTAACGAAACTTATAAAGGGGGCT